CTGGTAGCACCCCAGCCGCAGCCGCTGCCGGGCTCGAAGGCCTGCAGCCTGTGTGCTGCATTTGCGCAGCGCTGCCACAGGGCGTGCGGCATGCGCAGGCGGCAGAACGTCACAGGCGTGAGCGCACACAGCTGCACTACTGGCGGCCTGCTGGCCTCGCCACTGCCATGCCCAACCCCACCATAGCAAGCCAGCAGCGGCATATTCATGGTCCTCAGGCACCCCCAGCTCACCACCGGGTTGAAGGTGGCATCAGGGTCGTCCAGCAGGGCGGTGAAGGTGCCAGGATCCAGCTCCCCACATGCGCTCCACATGCTCCAGCTCCTGGCGGATGCGGCGCTCAGTCTCCTGCAGGAGGGGATGCGTACATGAGGGGGTGACGCAAGGTGCTGTGGGCAGCACCCTCCGGGTGGAGGGGCAGGGGCGCCACCTTGGCCTCACCTGGCGATTGCCCATGTCCAGCGGCTGCCTGGCAAGGTGCAGGTCGGCCACCGTGATGGTGCCTGCAACACGGGGGCAGGTGGGCATAGGGCACAGGCAGGTTGCAGAGAGGTAGCCGCCTGTGCGACTCTATGCTGCTGCTGCGCCACTCGTCCACACTCTAGGCAACTTGGAACCATGCCTCAAGCCTAGCTGCCTTACGCTCACCGTGGCTGGGCACCACCTGGCCCGCGCTGTCGTGATAAATCTTGATGGCCCCTGCGGGGTAGCAGGCGCAGGCGGCAGGGGACCCAGCGGTGACGAGAGTCGGGGCGGCACGGGTGCGGCGGCGGCGGCAGGGCGGGACCCGCGGCCCTCCCCCGAGCCTCTCTGCGCCGTGGCGCAAGCCGGCTGGCTTCGACGGGTTAAAAGTCAGTCATTCAGTCAGCCAGAGTCGGGGCTCCCGGGGGCCCCGGCATCGCGCCGGCCGAGCTCACTGCTGGCCCACGGGGCGGCCATCTCGGCTGCGAAGGAGAGGGTGCTGAGCCTAGGGGCTTGTTGGGGGCGCCGTAGGGGCGCGATCGGGAGCTACCCGGTGATGCCAAACGACAGGCGGGCCCGAGGAGCGCGGGAGAGCGGCACACCAGCTGGTCGACGCCTGAGAGGGCGTAGAATGCAAGGAGGTTGCCACGGAGCTGGGTTGAAATGCCGCCGCCGCACCAGATCAGCCGCCGCATTCGTGTCGCCGCCCCGCTCATGCGGAAGGCCTTAATCAGGCAGGCTGCCGCTGCCTGCTTTCCCCTGCTGGCCCACCAGTGTGAGCTGAAAGCTGCTCAGCGTTGCAGGGTGCTCTCCAGCCAAGCCGTCAACAGGGCGACGCCAGCCTGCTTTGCCCCGAGTCACCCCACCCGCCACAGCCCAGCAGCAGGCTCTTGCAGCACCCACCATGCTGCATTGCGCAGGAGCGGCTGTAGCTTGCGACATCTCACGCTGGTCGTGATGCAGTGCGTAGGCCTCCTCTGTTGATTCAATGGTCTGCTTGACAGTTGCCCACGATCTCCAGCGGGCTGCCGAGTGAGCATCAACACTACGTTACACGCACTTCTTGCCAGCATTGCAGTGCATGCAAGGTAAAGCCTGGCCTGCCGCCGCTTGGCGTTCGAGCCAAGCTCTCCTTCATCCTGCTTTCCCCCATGCTCACCAAGGCACAACCTCGCGCTTGTAGTCGTGCCAGGTACCCTGCAGCTCCCGCGTGCCCGCTGCCCCGTCCTCCAGGACGCCAATCAAGCCCGCCACCGAGGTCTGCAGCAGCAGGTGGAGAGTGGGCCAGGGGAGCAGCGCGCACCAGCAGCCGGAAGGTTGCACCCTGGCCATCAAACCCAGCGTCTTCAGCAGCGCACCTGCTTATCAATCAGTCCCGCACCACCGGTCATGTCGGTGCGGACGTACCTGCAGAAAATGAAGGGTAAAGTGAGGAGGGTAAGGTGCGGCATGCAAACCCAGCAGAGCTGCAATGCACACCGCCTGCTGCATCCGCCACTATCACCCCACCACCGCTACTACCACAGCAGGAGCTCCCGAGCAGCAAGCTGCCTCACCCCGGGTGCAGCAACGTGCAGACCACGTTGTCTGGCGCAAGGTCGATGCTCAGCGACTTGTTCACAACTGCGAGACAGCCAGCCAGGGCGGGTGGTCTTGAGCACAATGGGCGAGTGGGTAGGGTCTGGCCGATCCTCCAGCGCCCGCCCCGAGCCAGCCGACAAGCCGACTGCAGGCAGCTGCGGGCGCCGCCCTTGCAGGGCAAGCAGGCATGCCGCGGCGTCCTCAACTGTTCAGCGCGGCTTTTGAGGAGCGGTAGGCGTAGCCGCCACCGCTGCGGTTGTCTTCCACCGACCCCACCTTGCTCGTCACATTGGCCACCACCGACGGCGACGTGCCTCCCAGCAGCCCGCGCCTGCAGGGCGGCGGGGCGCAGCGGCAGTGCAGACTTGCGGGCAGTGAAGGTGGGCGTGTGCTCTTGCATTCACGGGCTGCCAGCATGCTCCCCTGGCCAATGCGACTGCGCCAGACCGCTGCTTACTTGTGTAGCTGCTGCACGACCAGCAGCGGCCCCACACAGTTGGTAACAAATGTGGCCAGCATGTCGTCATACGTCACATCGCTCAGCCCCACCCGGCGCCCGTAGATGCCGGCATTGTTGATCACATAGTCGAAGTGCGAGGCCAGCTTCTGCACCTCTCCCGCCCACTGCTCCACTGACTGGGGGCTGGACACATCTAGCTGCGTGAGCGTCACGTTTTCCAGTCCCTGCACCTCATTCGCCTGCGAGGGCTGCCTGCAATTCCATGCATCCCACAATGTGTTGGATGGCGAGCAGGAGACCAGCTGTGACAAGCCAGCTCTGGGCACACAGGCTGCACCTGCGCCGCCGCCCATCGCCGCCCACCGGCACCCGCCGCCCATCGCCGCTCACCGGCACGCCGCGATCACCCTGTTGCCCTTTTGAGCGAACTGGCGGACGAACTCCGCGCCGATTCCTCTGCTGCCGCCCACCACAACCACCGTCTTCTGCGTAATGGCCGACATGAGGGGGTTGAACCAAGCAGTGCAAGTGTGCACCAATACCTACAGGCCGTCACTTCCAGGGATTGACTTTCAGGGATGGAGCGAGAGGATTCAGGAAAGCACTAGGAAGGCAGGACACCTGTCATGGCCGCCGCCGCCGATCCACGCCATCGAGCATGCCATTCCCACTTTGTTCAACAAGAGACATTCCAAATAAAGTTACACATCAACAGAGAAGCAGTCAACATAAGACCATTCACCAGTGGGGAGGAGCATCGCTGCCATGGCGCGCCGCTACCGCCACCCCTCCAGCTGCGCCAGCAGGTTGGCCAGTATTTGCAGCGCCAGCTCGTAACCGCTGTCCACCACATGCAAGCCATCCTTTGAACACCACGGCAAGCAGTCTGCGATGCAGCAGTTGCGAAGCAGTTGCGGCACGGCTGAGACGGGTTGGCGGAGGCAGCGCTGCCACCGAGGGGCCAGACGTGTTGAACCAAGCAGCGCTGCTGGCAAGCACAGCAGGCGCACGCATGGAGCTATCCCACACAACCAGCCGGCCGCCGACTCACCCAAGGCAAGGCTGTACAGGTCCAGGTGGTGCGCAGGGCCAGTCGGGTACATGAACCCCAGGTCCACAGCCACGCGATTGTACAGGCGGATCCACTCTGCCGGCAGCTCGTTCCACCAGGGCGCCTTGAGCGTGTGCCGCGGCGGCGGGGAGAGCCAGATGAGCACCGTGGTCGGCGGGACCTGTGCACAGGCAGCAAGCGGCGCATGCCTCACGTCCTGACAGCCTGCTCGCCCCGCGAGGCTCGTGCAAACAATGTGCAAAGGAGGCCGCAAGCTCACGGGCCAGCACAGCAGGTGCAAGATCTTCCAGCTCGTGCACACACACTGCTGCCGAAAGACAGCGACACAGCGCGGGGGGTGCATCACCTCGGCTTTCAGGAAGCCCAGCAGCCCATCCATCTGCCGCGTGTACTCGCTGATGTTCTTCAGCGTGTACAGGTGCCACACAGACGCATCCATGAGCAGCAGGTCTGGCCACTGCCCGCTCCTGCACAGGCACAGGCGCGGCACACAGGCAGGCTCGCCCAAGGGCGAGCCGCGAAACAGGCACATAGCATGGGGCGCAGTGGAGCGCGCCGATGCCTGGCTCACCCTCCGCCTGATGGTGCCCCACCCCCTGCCACTCACCATGCCTCCAGGTATCTATGTATCTCCGAGGCCAAGTGGGTCATGTTGATTTGTACAGTCGTGTTCAGCGCAGGCACCACCTGCACGCTGTTGTGCTGCGACTCAGGCAGCTTGGCTGGCACAAAATACGGCTTGCCTGCGGGCAGGGCAGTAGGGAGGTACCAGATGAGTTGTGGGCTGAGAGAGAGGAAACAGAAAATCTGCTGCTGCACGACCCCAAACAGGCCCGAAAAAAACGGCCTGAGGGTCAAAACCAGGCCTCCAGCACCCTCACCCACCGCCAACGGCCTGGACCAGCCAGTTGTGGAACTGCCGCACGTGGCTGTCTCCCATGAATGCCAGCCGCCTGCTCCTCAACAAATCTGCAATCTCGCTGCGGCTGCGGCGGCGTATGTCGCAGCGGGTGTATAGGTGCCATCCCCACTGGTATGCCAGCGACTGCATGGGAGGGGAGAGAGACAGGAAGGGCACAAGGGAGAGGGAGAGAGGGAAGCTTCAGCGGGTAGTGTCTCACAGCAGGGCTGGCTGCCAGCCCTCCCATGCCGTGCAGGCCGCGGCTCACTTCGTTGAATGCTGTGAATGCGTCAGCCAAGTTGCGCACGGCTATGTTGAGGGGCAGATCAGGGATTCTGCATGCATCGGCAGGCAGACCAGTTGTCGAGTTGTGCGCTGCCCATGTCCGTCGCCAACGACAGGCAGGTACCACGGCAGAAGCGGCAGCTGCGGCGGCTGGCTCACGGGACTTTTGGCGGAGTGCGCTGCCACCAGCCATCGGCCACGGCCAGGAGGCAGTCCTTGTGCCAAGCGCCGGCTGCTGTGCGGCTGGCGGCCAGCGGTTGCCCGGTGCCGACGCTTGCCGGGCGGAGCAGGCAGAGCAGGACGACGAGGCAGGTCAGGAAGGAGATGGCCGAGGAGGTGACGTGCAGGGTGTTGGCCACAGTGGCTTCCATGACGGGCACAGACACACATGGGCAACGTCAAGTCGTGCCCTGCACCAGGCAAGAACCAAAGCGGGTGGGCGGCGGGTGGCCGGGGTGGCACTCCTGGGGCGCTCCCTGCAGGGATTGCCGATCTGCTCCACTCACCATTCGGCCAATGTAGAGTTGTTTGAGCTTGCCCAGCGCCGACTCGGTGTTGGTTTCAATCGAGGTGGGCTCGCTGCCCTGCTGAATTCGGCAAGCAGCAATGCACACATCCCATGTGCGACGGCAGGCCCCAAAATCGGGAAGAAGAAGAAGAGGAGAATACGCGGGACGCGTGATTTGTACCTCGGCCGCACTGGGAGGAAACGGGGTGTCAAGCCCCTGGCTCCCGTGTGAAAAACAACGAGGGGGAACACAGGTGCAGGTCAGCCTGGATCGATCAGCCGCCGCCTCTCGGCCGCCGCTGCCCGCCTCCCCGCCACCCGCGCCGGCGCCGCCGCTGCAGCCGCTGCTGGCGCCGCTGCCGCCACCGCCGCCGCCGCCGTGGCTGCCCCCTGCCCCGCCGCTCCCCCTCCCCGCCCCACCCTCGCAGCCGCGCCCGCTGCCGCCGCGCCCGCGCGGCGCTTCGCCTGCCTGGGCACATCCTGCGGTGCCTGCCGCTTGCCGCGGCGAGTCTGCGGGCGATCTGCCGTGCCACCGTCCTGCCTGCGCCGAGTGCGTCTGTCCGCCGCTTCTGCTGGGCCGTCATCGTGCCGCCACCTCCGCCGGGTAAGCGTCATCGCTCGTGAAGGTGCGCTGGGGCCCGCCTGCTGGGATCCGCCCTGCGGTGGCTGGGGAGGCGGCGGGGGTGGGTCACCGGGCAAGTCGGGCTGGGGCCCCCTCGCATTCTTGCGGGCTGCAAGCAAATTCATGCAGGTTTGCACCGAATGCTGCGCCAGGTCAACCACCAAGCGCTTGACAGCAGAGCGGCTGAGACCTATCTGAGCGTGCATGACGGCCATGAAGTTGCCGGTAACGAGGCCCGAGTGCGAGACGCCAATGGCAGCTTGCGCGGCGCTGCGCCAGCGCCCCGGGGCCGCCAGCATGGACTGGAGAGCGTCATGGCTGCTGCGCTTCGTCGCCCACCGCCCGGCCAGGTTAGCATCATATGTGTGGAAGCACTCAAGCATGCAAATGTCATGCTGCTGTCTGTCCGGCGGGCCAGCGCTGGCGGCAAGCAGGCCGAGCACGACAAGCACATCAGGGGTGGTGGGGCGCTGCTGCTCAGGCAACAGCCAGGCCGGCTCGACAAACTGGCACTGGCCCTCGGCGTCCGCCATAGTGTGGAAGCTCACCCCCTTCTGGATGGCCTCATGGAGCAGGTGCACGGTGCCACCATGGCGGCTGCACACCAAAGCATGCGTGTTGGGTTGCTGGCATCCGCCCAGCGCATGCGCCTGCGTCTCTTCCACCTGCGCCGTGCACAGGTCACACAGCGCGGAGGGGTGGCGGGCGGCGTCAAAGCCATGCAGCTGCTCGCGGAAGGGGCGGGCATTGAAGCGCAGCAGCAACGCAGCACGGCGCTGGGCAAACGTGAACTGGCTGGTCCAAATGGCAGCCGCAGATTCGGGCTGCATCCCAGGCGCATCAGGGTTCTCCTCCCGCTGCTGCAGCAGCAGGGTAAACATGACGCTGCGCGTGCTGGCCACAATCCTGTTTTGAAAGACCCGGGCGACCTGCTTCTTCACAGACGGCAGGGAGTCGGCCAGCCAGTAGGTGGACACCTCCTCGTCTTCGTTCCGTGGGCGGGCGATGCGCCGCGGCCAGCTGGCCCCCAGGCGCGGGGTGCCTGCCGGCGCATCAGTATAGAATGTTACATTGGCATCGCCCTCCGCCGCCCTGGCCGCCTGCTTGGCTGCCGCGTCAGCCAGCTCATTGCCCAGCACCCCAATGTGGGCGCGCACCTTGTGGAGGGCGAAAGTGGTGCCCTGCATCATGGCCCGGCTGCACAGCTGCGCCACAATGTGGGTGAGGATGCCCTTGTGCTTTTTGGTGCGCACGCGCTCATGCAGGGCCATGCGCGTGAGCCACATGGCAGTGCTGGCGTCAAGGAAGATGTGCCGGGCAGCGCCAGGCGGGGCAGCCGCGATTCCATGCAGCGCAGCCACCAGCTCAGCATACGGCACCGTGTTGAGTTGCAGGTCATGACCGTCGGGCTTGACCTCCTGCTGCTCGGCTGTGCCTGGCCCCGTCTCAGTGATCACGCCCGCACCGATCGCACCCGACGTCAGCTTGCTGCCGTCCGTGTAAACGTTGCTGCCCCGCGGGAAGCGGAGGTGGCGCTGCCCCGCGAGTGCCTGCGCTGGGTCGAGGAGGGGCGGGGGCGGGGGGGATGCAGCAGCAGCGTGCGTCGCCGGCAGGAGCTGGGCCAGCACGAAAGCCGAGCGCTTGCCCGTCGGCGGGCGATCGTCACCCTGCACCTGCTGCAGATCGTTAATCCAGTCTTGGACATCCAGGCCCAGAACAGGGCCCGGCTGCCACGCAGTAAGCAGCTGGAAGTTGAGCGCATCCTGCAGCCCGCCAGGCTGCATGTACCGCTGAATGCCTGCTGGGTTGGCGATCACCAGCAGGTCAGCATCCCATCTGGCCTGAGCGCTCTGCACTTCCCCGCTGGGCAGCAGGCATAAGGGCGAGAGGCACAAGGCGCCAGCCGTACATGGGCAGTACTGCTCGGGTGCAAGTGGCAGGCTCAATGGCCGCGCATGCAAGGCAACGACATGCAAGGCACGACATGCAAGGCAACGACCGCCCCACCAATTGAGAAGAGCATGCGACTGAGGCCCTATACGCGAGTGGTTGTGCAGCAGGCCCTCCAAGCTTGGCGTCTTGCGCTTGCATAGAATGGTCGAGCAGGCCAGCGGGGATGAGGGGGAGCAGCACTCGGCGGAGCGGCAACTGCTGTCGGCGGCGGCGGCGGGCGATGCGGGGGCAGTGCAGCAGCTGCTGGCGGCCGGCGCGGAGCCCGCCAGCGGAACGGGCGAGGGCGTGACGCCGCTCATGCTGGCGGCGGAGAGCGGCAGCACAGAGGCGGTGCAGGCGTTGCTGGATGCAGGCGCGCCGTGGCATGCACAGGACAGCCAGGGCTACACGGCGGGCGACTATGCCAGCGGCAGCCGCCACCGCGCCGTCGTGCAGCAGCTTCTGAACTGGGCCGTCAAAGCGGAGCTCATCCTGGGTGCGTGAGGCAATGGTGCCGCGCTTGCTTGTCACCACTGCGGTCGTCCTCTTGGCCTCGCTGCCAGTCCCTACCTGCATGCCGCTGTGGTTGCTCGCCACCGCAAGCTCCCAGCGCGCTGCTGCCCCGCAGGCACCATCAGCCGGCGGGAGAAGAAGGGGGCGGCTCCCAACCGGGACTACCTGAGCAGCAGCATTCGGTACGAGGACGGCAAGCTAATGGATGAGCAGGGTACGTGTGAGCTTGGATGGCAGCAGGCACCAGGCACGGGGCCGGGCTCTGGTTGACTGGCAGGCAGTGACAGGGAGCCGCCCGCCCGCCGCGGCCACTGGAGCCGCCCGCCCGCCGCGGCCACTGGAGCCGCCCGCCCGCCGCGGCCACTGGAACCTGCGCTGCCAGCGGCTGCTCGGGCGCGCGCCAGGGCTGGACCCCACCGCCGCCGCTCCGCCTGCTCCCTGCCTGCCGTGCCTTGGTGCAGGCGAGGCTGTGATGATGGATTGGGAGGCGCCGCTGATGGAGCGCCACGCGGCGGCGATCTGTGCGGGCGGCGGAGACGTGCTGAACGTAGGATTTGGCATGGGTATCATCGACGGATTCATCCAGCAGCACCAGGTGTGTGGCAGGAGAGGCGCGCCCGGCTGCGGAGGCAACCGGCCGCCAGCACCAGGCTGTGGGTGTGGGGTGTGGTGGGGGGGGCCAGGGGGATGGCTGGTGCCGAGCCCGCACGTCTGGCTGCCCCTCGCCCTGACCCATCGTCTCAGCTGCTGCTTCTCTTGTGCGCTCATCGCTGGTCTACAACCCGGCTCATGCGCCATCCCAGCCCAGCCTGCCCTTCTTCCCACCTGCCTGCCCGCCCGCCCGCCTGCAGCCGCGATCGCACACCATCATCGAAGCGCACCCGGATGTGTACCGGTATGCGTGCAGCCAGGGCTGGGACAAGCGGCCAGGCGTGCGGCTGGTGCTTGGGCGGTGGCAGGACGTCATTGACAAGGCAAGTGCGGGGCTGGGGCGCATGCAGGAGGGCAGGCGGCCTCTGCAGGAATGGGCGGGGAGTTGGGTGGGGGGCAGATGAGCTCGGATGCCAGGCTGCGCCAGCTGCCGCCAGCGCATGGGCCCGCCTGGATGCCAGGCTGCACGCCCCTCTCTGCCCCACTCCCGCCCTGAATTGGCCATCGCTCTGCTTCTGCCCAGACACTCCCTGCTCCCCCATCACACCCACGCACGCACCGCCGCCCCCTGCCGCTGCCGCGCCTACTTTCCCAGGCCCTGCCCCTCCCCACAGCCACGGCGTGCCCTCCTCCCTTCCCCTGACCCCGTCCATCCTGCAGCTGGGCCCCTTTGACGGCATCTTCTGGGACACGTTTGGGGAGCACTACAGCGACATGCATGCCTTCCACGCCTGCCTGCCCAGGCGAGCGGGGCGGCGGTTTGTGTGGGGTGGTGTGTGTTGTGGTGAGGAGTGGCGGGGCCTGCGAGAGGCAGAGTGAGGGGGCACCGCTTTTGTGGTCCACATGCGGCTGACTCAGAGACTCGGAGTGGGCGGCTGTGTGGGTGTGCTGCTGGTTGGTTGGCTGGCGTGGGCTCGGCTCATTGTGGCGACACCCTCCCTCCTGCGCCCCGCCCTGCCGCCGGTGCTCCTCGCCCGCAGGCTGCTGCGCCCTGGCGGCGTCTACTCGTTCTTCAATGGCCTGGCCCCGGACAACATGTTCTTTCATCTTGTTTATGGCGAGATTGCCCGGCTTGAGCTGGGCAGGCTGGGCCTGGAAACGACCTACGAGCCCGTGCCCATGGATGCATCAGGTGCGCCGCCGCCAGTCGCTCTGGCAATGTGCACTTCCTTCTGTGTGTGCCTAGTTGAGTTGTGCGCATGAGCAGCAAGCGAATGCTACGGTCCAGCAGCTGTGGTGCAGCATGTGAGCGCTGCTTTGCTGCTGCCTGCCTGCAGCGAAGGAGGTGTGGGAGGGTGTCGCCAACCGCTACTGGCACCTGCCGGTGTATTTTTTGCCCACGTGCATATTGAGAGCTGGCAGAGGGAAGGCCAGCAAGGAGCGGCAAGCAGCGGGGATGGCGGCGGCGGCACTGCCACAGAGCGAGGAAGAGCGGGAAACGCATCGTGGTGCTCAGTCATTGCCCGGCGCCAAATGAGTTGTGCATTGGCCGTGAACCCGAAGTATTATTACGCCCCAACCTGCGCCGCTCTCAGGTTTTGGTGTGCTCGCCAGAATAGCCTAGTACTGCTGCGCTGTTGTGAGGTCCTGGGTCATGCAGGGCAGCAATGTACGGATCACATCCGTCCCTGCACGCGGTGCCAGTCCCCAATCTATCCTCCGGCAACCACTCTTCTTGCACGGCGCCGGTGTGGTCTGCGCCCTCCGTGCCAGTCGCCCCGAGTTTGTGCGGGCCCCTTTCCTGGCGCCAGCATCCCTCCAGCGGCACAACCCACGCCACAGAGAGCCCATTTCTGCAAGCAGCGGTCGGCACCGCAGTTCTCCGCGAAGCCCGGCGTGAACGTACCTGTCCCGAACATGACGAACACGATGATGGCCTGCCTGCTCATCCTGGTGGCCGTTGCCGGCCACGGAGCAGATGGCTGGCTCAGGGGAGCCGCGGCGGGTGCGTGTTCTGAAGTAGCCGGCGGCAGGTCATCAGGTCCCGCCATCTGCGGCCGCCGCTCCCGTCTGCCCCCGCCACCAAACACACATGCTCGTCATGCCGCTAGTGTCCCTGCCCTCCACACTGCAGAATCTCCCCGCCTCCCTGATGGCCCCGCGCCGGGAGATGACTCCGTCAGTATTGCCAGTGGTGAGTTGAGCTGACAAAGCTGGAGAAAGCACATACAGCCTTGCCGCTGGCATGGCTCCCCGCACCTGCCGCCAGCTGCAGCCAGCACGCGCTGACAGTACCACTGCCATCCCTGTGCCTGCAGTGTCGTCTGCCCGCCTGGCGGGCACCGGCTCGCCCCTGAAGGGCCGCCTGGAGGTCAACTTTGGCGGCCAGTGGGGCGTGGTTTGCTCCCATGGATTCACGGCCAAGGCCGCGCGGGTCGCCTGCCGCCAGCTCAAGCTGGGCGGCGGCACAGTCAGCGCCAAATTCGCCCAGGGCCGCCTGCCCTACACGGTGGGCAGCTTCCAGTGCCATGGAAACGAGCAGTCGCTTGCCGGGTGCCGCTACTCGATCACCAACCAGTGCCCAGGCGGCAAGGCTGTGGGGTTGGTCTGCAAGAGTGAGTGGCAGCGGGGCCTGCTGCGCACGGCGTGCTGCTGAATTGCAGCGTGGCATGTGACGATCACCCAGCCCCCCAGCCAGGTGCTGATCCTGCCTTTCCCAGTTGCCCTGCCCTGCAGACCCCCCAATCAAGCAGGCGAACCTGGACAGCAACATTTATAGCCCCTCCCCTTATGCGGGCAGGCTGACGGTGATGCTGGGTCCAACCACCAACTACGGCTCCGTGTGTGATGCCACCGGCACGTTCTCAGATCGCGAGGCGGTGGTGGCATGCCGCACCATGGGCTACATCGGTGGCAGGGTTCTGCCAAAGAGCGACTTCCTGGGCTGCTGCCCTGGCTTTGTTGCCATCAGCAACCTGAGGTGCAAGGGCAGCGAGGTCAGCCTCAGCGGCTGCTCCTACAACATCTCGCCCAACTGCACCCACGACCAGGATGTGGGCGTCGCTTGCGATGGTGCGCGACTTCAGAATCAACAAACAAAACGAAATCGGCCACCTGTGGGTTTGCCTCTGCCTCTCAACGCACACGCTTGCTGCCACCTGCGATTTGCAGTGCCGCCTCATGTCCAGGTGCGGCTGGCAAACGGCAAAGCCTTCAACAACGGCCGCCTTGAGGTGAGCAGCGCTGGCGCCTGGATAGGGACCTGCCTGCTCCCCTGCTGGCTAGCATTAGGGGCCCACCCCAGCCACCGCCCGACCACCAAACATATAAGCTCACCGACCCGTGTCGCACCTGCCTGCAGGTCCGCATCGGCGGCAAGTGGGGCACCGTGTGTGGTACTGGCTTCAACCAGGCGGCCGCCCAGGTGGTGTGCCGCAACCTCAACCTGACAGGAGGCACGCCGCGCTACGGCGCTGTGTATGGCAAGGGCAAGGTCCCCATCCTGCTGTCCAACCTGCGTTGCCGCGGTCGCGAGAGCGAGCTGTCGGCCTGCCTCGGAACAAGAGCCGGCATCCCGCCGGGCGGAGGGTTCATTCATTCATTCAGCACACAGACCGGCCGCCTCTTGCTCGAGGGCGGCCCACTTTGGCCTGGGCAGCCCGGGCCGCCCTCCCCCCCGGGCGCATGTTCGGTGTTGGAGGGGTGCGCCCAGCGATAGGGGGCCCCTGAAGGCATGCGCCGAGGCCGGGAAGCGTGGTTCGGCGCTGCTGCACGCTTGGCGACTTGAACAGAACCGCGTGCCGCCGAGCTGCGGCCGCAGTTTCCGGCCCACAGTCTACGGCCGCAGCCACGGGACTCGGCGGCACGGCGTTTGGGCCCAAGCTTGCCGCCGTGCCCGGGGGGCAGCGCGGCGGCGGCGGCGGCACGCTGCGACGCCCCCGAGCCACCGAGCTGCGGCCGTAGCTTCCTGCCAGAAGCCCACGGCCACAGCCACGGGACTCGGCGGCACGGCGTTTCGGTCCACGGCTTGCTGCCGCCGCCGTCGCAGGGGTGCTGCCTGCGGCGGCGG